CCTTACCATAATGTTTCGTTCCCCTTTACAATAGATATGAGATGTCACAATCTACCTTCCTTGGAAGCCCAACATTCCCACTAGCACACTGCCTAGTGTCTAACTTGATACTATTTATAACAGCTCAACCCCACCTTTAGCAGATATTATTCTCTTTGGGCTTTTCCTTGAAGAACCTCCCCTCAAGGTTTTAAAATACGTCAGTTAGGGGAGGCTTCTACACCCTTATAAAAAATGATTTATTCCCCTTTCCACACCAATGTAGGTCTCACAAGATTCGACCGATTCAATCAAGCTTGGATTATATTTAACTTTTAAGAGGTAATCTAATTCTGGTCTTGTCTATTGATTGATCTATATTTTGTATAAAGAGATGTTAATTTCTTTGATTTAATGATTCTTGATTTCACAGAAACTAAGGTTGTCTTATCATTTATGTTCTCAATCATTTCTCTATTGTCATTTCGAATCATGATAAGGTGAAGCATGAACTTCACTATCATCCTAACTCTAGGATGTATACGCTCCAATCTCACTAGCCAATTCATTACTAAAGAATTAGTTGACTATTTTTTAATCGTTTCCATATGGCATATCAATGTGGGAGTAACCTAGGTGTGCTGGCCGACCATCAATATTATGTGAACCTGCTACTCAAAAAATGTTTATTGTTGAAAGACCGGGTATACATTCAACCCAGCAATCCGACAATCCGGACCAATCCAACCCGAAATATAAGGGTTGGGTTGAGTTGAATTAGTATTTCCTGTGGGGTTGGGTTCATTTGTTTGAACATGAATTTGTATTCGAATAATTATAAATTGTGAATAAATAAAATTTTTCTTTTTTAAAAATAATTTTTTTTAACAACCAGACAACCAACCCAACAAAGGTTGGGTTTGAAAATTTTCGAGTAGGGTTACCAATCTAACCAACCCATAACTTTTGAGTAAAAAAAAAATCCATCGACCCAATCAAACACGGACTACGTACACCCCTATTGTTCATATCAAAATATTAGTGAGAAATGTATGATTTTATTTTTTACATAGGCAAGCTAAAATCAATGGTACGTACCACCCATTTTGATAAAAAAAATTTGGAACAATTATTTGAGATGAAATCATTTCCATTTAAGAATTTTAGCACGTGTGACATAGGACTTTGCATATCCATACGAGTTCTTAAATTTGATTGATTAGATTTTTCATATTTGTTGGTTTTCAATTATTGATAGTCTTTCTGTTTTGGTTTCATGTCTATTAGTTGTTAGGTAAACGTACGGTTTTCATAGTTACCTCGCGATGCCGTCTAATTTTTTTTGGGTAATACAACGAGATTGTTGATACTCCTCTTAAGATCAATACACAATACTCTTTAGTATATGCTCTTCATTTCTCGAATCCTAGTTTGTATCGTACTCTTAGTTTGTATTCATTTGTCTTTTGTGTTCTATGCATCTTCAAGACACTTAGTTTAAAAACCTCGTGTTTTCTTCCACATTAGACTTGCATGCCTAACGTGATGGCGCGAAATTCAAATGTGTATTGTTGTAGTAGGGTGATGGGATCAAAGATAATTTAAACTAGTTCGTTTTTAGACAGTGACATCCTTAATCGACATTAATAAAAAAAACTACTTAGTTTTGAGATGAAATTGCAATTCTTAAATAGTGAACATACCTCGAGCTAAATGCGTAATAAATAATAAAATATGTTATATTTCAATAGGACTTGTTTAGTTATATTATTAATAGGTATTTGTAGTGTAACTGTCTAGGTTGCTAGCAAATATTGTCTTTTAAAAACTCCCTTCAGGGTCCAGCGTTCTCGCTGGCACTCGTTCATTTCTCCAATCGATGTGGGACCCCCACCAAATTCACCCCGTTCGTGGTTCAACGTCCTTACTGGCACATCGCCTCATGTCTACCCGCTTTAAGGAAGGGCCTCCTTGCTGGCACATAGTTCAGTGTCTGGCTCTAATACCATCAGCTCGGACTCACTGCTAGCAGATATTATCTTCTTCGGGCTTTCCCTTTTAGGCTTACCCTTAAGGTTTTTAAAACGCGTGTGTCATATAAAAATTTTCTTATCGTCTTTCTTCTCCCCAACCCATATGGGATATGGAGATTATATTACTATTAAACTAAAAAAACAATGAAAAAAAATCTTAAAACTCTAACCCTACAGACATGGAATTATCGTCATAATTGACTCATTTTAAGGTTTTTTTTTCAGACAATGTTAGATATTTATTTAAGCCCGACATGATAACCAAATCTTTTTATAGTATAATTATTAATAAGTAATCAATTATAAATTTAATTTCGATAACAAAAATGAAACTAATTAATTAAGATTCTAAAAACAGATTTGCAAACGTATTCAACGATGATGTTTTTAGCAATCGAACAATGTTGTTTAGGATAAATCTATTTTAAGAAAACTACTTAAACCACAATTTTTTTTTTATTTTTTTTTTATGGCTATTAATTATTGCGACAACCTAAATTTGATAATGTAACAAGATTTGTCTAATTCTCATAATATATATAAACACCCAAAGGTGTGTTAATTTTGATGGGCAAAGAGTAAGCCACACCCTCCATCCTAGAGACCCTTAATTGTTTCGCCATGGAAGAAACGCAGGTGGTGATCGTGGGCGGTGGCCCGGCGGGGCTTGCAACGGCGGCATGCCTCAACCGTCTTTCGATACAAAACATCGTACTCGAAAGAGACGATTGCTGCGCTTCTCTATGGCGAAAAAGGGCTTATGACAGGTTGAAGCTTCACTTAGCCAAACCCTATTGTCAACTTCCTTACATGCCATTCCCACACAATGCACCAACCTACATTTCCCGGTTGGATTTCATTGCTTATTTGGATAACTACATGTCGTGTTTCGGGATCGAACCGCGGTGTTGTCGGAGCGTGGAACGAGCTTGGTACGACAAGGTGGAGGGGAAGTGGATGGTGGTGGTGAATAACAAGGGTAGTGGTGTGGAAGAGAGGTATGTTTGTAGGTATCTCGTGGCTGCCAGTGGGGAGAATAGTGAGGGGTTTTTGCCGGATGTTCCTGGATTGAAGAGCTTCCATGGTGAGGTATTGCATTCAAGTGGGTATGAGAATGGAGAGAGGTTTAGAGGGAAGGATGTTTTGGTTGTTGGATGTGGGAATTCTGGCATGGAAATTGCTTATGATTTGTCTAATTATGCTGCAAATACTTCCATCGTCGTTCGGAGCCCGGTAATAATCTCGTTTCTTCATGTTTTTCTTACCTAGACTCATGAATCTTCGTTTAAACGTGGAATGACGGGGGAGTTATAAACCCAATTTAGTGTTTTATTGTGTCGGGCAGGTACACGTGTTAACGAAAGACATCGTTCGGGTAGGGATGTTTTTATTGAAATATCTTCCATGTAAGGTTGTGGATCCAATCTGCATTAATCTTGCCAAGATGAAGTATGGAAATTCATCTAAGTATGGGATTCGTAGGCCAAAAGGAGGCCCTTTTCTTATCAAAGCCAAAACTGGTCGTTCTCCCACGATTGATGTTGGATGCATGAACAGAATCAAGAAAGGAGAGATCAAGGTAAAAATTCCTAACCTTTCTTAACAATATCGTGTTAACCCTATCCAGTTCAATCTCTCATAAATGTTTTGAATAGTTCGACCCCTAGTTCGCAAATGCTAAATCCCTCGATAAGAAATAACTAGAAAGGAAAGTAAGATCTAGATTATCTTCTTCAGGTTCTTCCATCGATAACATACGTAAAGGAAGATCACGTGAGGTTTGCATATGGCATTGTGAATTGCTTCGATGCGATAATTTTTGCGACGGGGTACAAGAGCACGGTGCTGAATTGGCTGGAGGTAAGGGGGGTAAAACCCTATTGTTCATCATTGAAATCATGAAATATGAAAAGGGTTTGAAGCAATTATATGAAACATTTGACAGGATGAGAAGGGGCAGTTCAATGAGGAAGATGGGTTTCCAAAGCAAAGACCCCCAAATCATTGGAAAGGAGAAAGTGGGTTGTACTGCGCAGGATTTGGAAGGCAGGGGTTGCTTGGGATTTCAAATGATGCACAAAACATCGCAAGGGATATAGCAACCTTGGCAGCATGAGATATGAACAACACCCAATGGTGTTGAATGAAGTTTGGGTGTTCTTAATGATTCACCTGTCATACAGGGGTGGAGGTATTGTATGTAATATTGTTATTTGGGAATATTTCCTATCATTAAATTGGATAATTAATTTTTTTTTATTATTTCTTCTTTTTAAAATATATTATCAACTATTTGTAACTTATAACTAGATATTTAAGAAAGTAAATTTTTAATAACTAATTACATCAATTATACTAAATTAGCTACCATGTTTAGTTCAAATTCCTAACGGAATTGTAGAATTATGTATATATTTAGCACATATTTCCTAATTTGAATTCAACACATTCAATTGATTTATGGTCCCACCATTATGCCAAATCCCTCTCGAATCAAGGAGTCTTATTTGAGAACTCGAGTCACTCTCACCCATGCAAATCTAAGGATAATTCTGAATAAACAAAAGTTTATGGTTAGCTCATGCAAATCAAATTAGATCATCGAATGAAAAAATCATTCTCAACCAGTAAACAACATTATAAAGTGTGATTTTCTCCATGGTCCGATTACTCATGGAGCATGTACAATTTAGTTGAAACACTCTTATGTCCCTACATATAGTTCAAATAATAAAAAACTATAGTTGGAATGTTCTAATTTGATAACAATCTTTTACTTAAAAAAAATCATTTAAAACTTTGCTGGCACTTATTTCTTGTGCAAATAAAATATTTGTTTAAAAGTTTTACATCAATAATAACTTTATTGGAAATAAAATATATTTTTGTTTATCCAACAAAAATGTTTATATATAATTAACAAAAATGTACATTCAACGGGGTGTACATTCAACCCCAACTCGAATCAACCCAAGTAGGGTTAAATTCTTTTCGTATTAATAAGTTTGCTAGAGTGGTACACCTCTCTACGGACACCCACGCCGAGTTCAACCCAACCCAGGTACACCCCTAATTAACAATTAACAAGAAGAACAATTGTTCTTGAATCAAATCAAATCTATGAACTCAGACATCATGTTTCGGCTGTTCAGACCCAAGAAAATCTATGAACTTAACATCTTCCTTCTAGTCTGAAAGCCAATCTTCGATTCTCTAAAAATGAGAAAAGTTCTGAATAAGTTTTCTTTTCACAGAGGTTGGAGTGTTGTCTTGGTTTCCTGGCCATGATTGACTCTCCAGTGCAAGTGCTCAAAGGAGATTTTTGTAGCATAAAATGTTTTCTAGGCATGATTGATTCTTGGTTTTCTGCCAGTTTATAAGAACATGGCAAAGGGTAAATCATACATCATTTGTGCATTTAAGTTGACTAACAAACAATCAAAGTACGAACGGTAAAATTTTATCCTATCTAAAACTCGAAGTATTACACAGATGCTCACCCATGAGCTTTCCCCTCATGGTCAAGGTAATGATGACACAAGGCAACAGGAAAATAACACTCAAATCAAATAAATCCCTGTTGTGTGTGTGTGTGTGTGTGTGTGTGTGTGTGTGTTGTGTGTGGAGACCAACCAACAAAGCAAGTGATCAAACTCATATAAACTTCAAAAGGAAACACACAGCAAAGACAGCGCTATTAGTATAATCTCCCAAAAAGAAGCATGCAAGGGCTCCAAAGGGCAAAGAGCGCAGAAAAAGGACATTGACTCATACCTCAGTTATCAAATGGGCGCTATACAATTAACGCATTCCATTTGGGCAGATGCAAGAAACAATGAAGCTTTACACTTTAAGATACCGAAGAACTCATGGCCACAATCGAGCATCTAAGGCTTGAGAAAAGACAACAAGAAGAAGCGTGCAAGGGCTCGTAAGGGAATAATGTGCAGAATTAGGACATTGAGTCGTACCTCGGTTATCAAATGGGCACTATACAACTATACAACTCAAACATTCCCATTTAGGCAGATGCAATTACCATCACAGAGAGCACCAAGCAAACACTACGTCTACAATAAGGATAACAGGTAATGCATTAAAACCGAACACAAAGCTAAATGATTACTTGAAGGTAAAAATAGTATCAAAGTTCACGTGAATCATTAAGGATGACATTTTTGCACGATGCCCTCAGAACTCATAGCCTAATTCCTCATTGACAATGCTTGCATTTCATTCGCATACTAGCCTCTACTCATCTACAGCCACTATAAAAGAAAAGAAAGGAAATGGAAAGCGTATAATGTATATATATATATATGTATGTATGTATGTATGTGTTTGTGTTTGAGAAAGAGAGAGAGAGAGAAAGAGTTATGGTTGAGGGCAAAGGCTAGTACTAGAAATCAATGCAAATGCTTCAGAGCACGAGTTTTTCCATCATCGGGCACAGGCAATTTCAAGATGCCAGAGGGAATTTGTAGAAATTGGTTGACGATAAATAACATCATGCACATTCCAGCTATTTTTTCTAATGCAGATTCCTACTCCTTAAATTGTTCTCCTTATCTTTATCAGCTATTTTTTCTATAGCATAGCATCTTTCATGCTTATTAAATTTCCTAATAAACTATCCCACAAAAGGCAGGCATTTACATCCAGGAACATCCAGGAGTTTCAGGGACATGAAAGTTGAGACAAAATATAGCATTTAGACCTTAATACAATTTTTTGCAAATCTAACGAGTGCAAATCTTGTTCGGTAAGAAAAGAGAGAAAACCCATTGCATGAGAAGCATAACCATCAAGAAACATTTTAAAATGAAATAGTTTTATTCTCCATAATATTTAATCTTAAGAGAAAGATATCCAAAACTTAAACGAAAAAAAAAGTCAGATTTTTTATATTATTTTCGAAGTAAACTTAACAGGCAGAATATAAATCTAGAGAAATTTTCAAACAAAATTACAAAGTCATTTAGAAGAATTTTTTTTAAAAACGTGTTTTTAATTGATAAACACAATTCACAAATACACTACTTCTGTAAAATCTGATTACAACATCAGTTACAGTTTCATGTAGATTAACCAATTCCAAGATGCCCTCAGATATCATAATCATACTTCATCATTTCTAGATGTATTTGATTTTCATTACTAGCCTCTGCACATCCTTAACCACTCACAAAAAAGAAGAAGAAAAAGAAGAAACCAGATATATGGATCATCAGATAGGCAGATAGATAGAGAGATAGAGAGAGAGAGAGTGAGAGAGAGACACAGACAGACAGATTATGTGTGAGTTGGTTAATGGCAAAGGCTTATAATGAAGATCATTGGTATCTGCTCTAATCAGTGAATTCCATCATCGGGCAGATGCAACTTTTAAAGCAAAGTCAATTTCATCATACAAAAAAGTCCAAATACCATACAATCAGCACATCGCTGAAAATACAATTGAAAGGAACCAACTTATCAGAAGTGCATCCCACCCCCACCAATTTATATATATATATATATGCACATTAAAAAACAATTATAATAATAATAATAAGAAGAAGAAGAATTACAAAAATGTGTCCTGTGAAAACAAAGAGAAAAGAAATACAGTAAAATATAGAAATCTTTTGAGTTCAAGCCAAACCCAATTTTATAATGTCAAATGTGATTTTGTATGAGATCTGTCATGACAAATGACTTTACACCCAATATAAAAGTCACATATATGATCATATATACATGTCTATAAATAGCGACAGCATATCATGAATAAAAACAAAATATTGAAAACAAAAGGACAGAAGAATCACTAATTCAGAAAGAAACAAAGATTCAAAATTTATCATGATCCTGAACTATCACCTTTACCTGTTTCGATCCATGTACTTGGGGAAAGAATGCTTTTAGGTCCTTATCATTAAATTTATGTCAGGCGTGAACGGTTCGAGGTGCTACCATAACTTTAGAACCCAAAAGCTCTATATTGAATATCAGCCTCTTTAAATTGGCCATATAGAACCAGCCTATGTGACACTCCCACCTTGCTGCAACGACCTAAGAAAAACCAACTAAATGAAGCTACAAGCATTCAAAAGAATGGACAACCCTATATATAAAAATCTGGTATTGGAATTGGAAAAATGGTGGTCAAACACTTATATGTCTATATAAAAATATTTAACAGCTGATTTCAAAAAAAAAAAATTATTATAATGCTCTAAGCCAAAACAAAATATTTAAATGCATATAAACCAGAATGGATTAAAAAAAAAATTATATCAACGAGTGTCCAAGCCAACTCAAATGCATCTCGACTAATTTCACCAAAACACCACCCAACTCTGTTACATTGGTTGATAAGAAACGCGTAAGATACTAAATCTGAGATAGGTGACCACCATTTCTCTTATTTCTCCCAGGCCTTTATGCCCACTAAGTCAACACATGATGGTTAGCCAAAATTGATTAAATTAAAAAAAAAATTCTCGAAATAAGATTTGGAGAACAAAAAATAACTTTATGCACAAGTTCCTTGCACTTCAAAATTAGATGTTTCAATATTTAATATCATTCTTGAAACAAAATCGTCACTTTAAAGTTAAATCGTGCAAACTGGGAAAGAAAATTAGTAAACCAATTCAGTGAACCTTTAAGATCAAAGAGTATGTGTAAATGCCCTCAGTCAAAATTGATTTTCATCACTACCTCTACACAGCACAGCCACTATAATAATTTACCAAAAGAGAAGGCAAAATATTGGGAAAAGACAGATAGATTGGATGGGTTTGTGTTTGAAGAAAGAGAGAGAGAGAGAGAGAGAGAGAGAGAGAGAGAAAGAGAGTTGTGGTTGAGGGCAAAGGCTTGTGATAAGAATCAACTTAACAACTCCAGAAATGAGTTTCTCCATCATTGGGCAGGTGCAATTTTCTGATGAAAAGGGGAAAAATGCGAACATAGAGATCAATAATCAAGATACTAAAATAGGCAAAACAAAAATTTCAGATCACAGTTGTTACATATGAGAGTCATTTAGAAATTAGATCATTTAAAAGAAAACAATCCTATTTGCATGTAGAAGATTAAAACGTTGAAAAACAAGCGAACTTAAAAAACTTAGTACAAAAACAGTAATACATCTAACAAACTTCTCATTCAATACAATGCAACTCAACCAAAAAAAAAAAAAAACAAAAATGCTATCTGAAATTAGAAAAACAAATAATAATAAATAATAAAACCGTGGCTATTTAATCCAAATGAGTTATGACTGGATACTTTATAAAGAACAATAAACAGATACGCTTCAAATGCATATACTGCAGATGAAAAATGATGATGAACATATATATTAAACAAATGACTAGAAACAAAATCAAGTTTAGAGGGATCAGATTCAGCATCCTAAGCATCACTCACCTCACACATAATTCGTAATACCTCCAAACAGATTTACCAGATCCTAATCAACAGCATAAAACATACAAATATAAGAAAATCTAGGTAGGACTTGCCATTAAGCCAGGACCCAGTTAATAAAAACAAAAGAAAATCCAAAACATGAATGATCGACACATTGACAACTGAAACTCACCCATTTTAGGCAAACCCCAACAAAAACAAAAAACATTAAAATAACCAGAGTGCTTAGTACTATGAAATCTGGACATGCAAGGGAGAAAAAAAATGAAGTTAACGCACACCCACAAAGACTCGGGGTGAAATAGTTGAGATCAACTCCATAAATAAGAGAAGCCCTCAGATCTAATCGCGTAAACTAAATCATCCATGGAATAGACGAAATGAGGTTCACCAAAATCCCTTAGTAAATGTCAGAAGGCAGTGAAGGGGGGAGTAAAGGGTGATTAACGATGACATAGGGGACAGCAAGAGATTAACATGGGGTATGTTTGACAAAAATGGGGGAAATTGAGGTGTTTGATCTCGTCTCTCCAGACTGCCACGGCTAAATTAATGGAGGAAGGGAAACTAAAGGAAGCCCCAAGAAATGATGGAAGAGAGAAACAAAAAAAACATAAATATGGCTTTTGAAGGGGTCAGATAGAACTGTGATTTGATAGCACCAGAGCCTCGGCTTCGCAGCCGAGTCGAGGTAAAAAATGCTACGTTTCGTACCTCCAACTGTGTTCAAATATATATCTTTTTTATTCGTCTTTGAACCTAATATATTTAACGATGTTAATTGAAATTTTTTTTGTATGAACGCAAAAATTACACTAATATTCTGAGTTATAATAGAATTTGGTTTCATTATTGAATTTTTTATGTTGATTAACTCATTCCCCATTTTTTACTCACCAATTTGGACATCCATCAACTTTCCATAAATTACTATTATGAGGTAGAGGTATAATAAATGAAAAATATTGTGATTAAATGTTAAAAACAATAATCATATATCAAACCGAATCTGCATTTTTTCAAGGTTACTGACATATAGAAATTTTATAGAAATAATTCAACCATTACACAATAATCCAAAATACAATTCGAAACTATGAATTTCTTCCTTCACCAACATTTCCCCACTACGACTAACACACAATTTTCTTCAAAATTGTAGGAGTATTATTCTGTCCCTAAATTTTTATTATGTAAAAAAAATATATATTTCAACTCGAAATAGTATTGAATAGGTATCAGTATCATATAATTATCGATTGATTGTTCTTTTGAAGCAAAATCTGAAGACAGCCGAATTCCACCTACCGTATTAATAACGATCTTGAATATATGCCCATCCCATTTCCATTTGTTTTGCAATCAATGTAGTAAAAAAACACAACATCTTCATCCTTTTTCTCAAACTTTGGATGGGCAACGCTCCTCTATCTTCCATGGATTTGCATGGCCTCTTAATTGTTAAAAAAAGGTATTTCAGGCAATGGATTTAACTATAAGAAACGTACAGCTATGCATACAGCTGAAAGCAGATGGTAAAACATTTGACCATGAAGAATTTGAGGGGATTGATGATGAAATCCATTGAGTTACTGATGAGATGAATTCGAAAATCTACAACATTATGATGATTTGATAAAAAAAAAAAAAGCATCAATCAAAAGGAGATCTGACTAAGCAAGTGTCAGAATCACAGAAACTAAGAGGATAATGCAAAAGTATAAGGTTCTTGATTATGAATTTGGAGAAATAATTTTTTTCTTATAAATTAAAAATCACAAACAAACATGGGAATTCATAGTTTACGAGTAAGAAGATTCAAAGAAAGGAAACAGAGTCCGCAAAAGAAACAGGAAACAACAGAACTAAACAACAGACAACAAACGAGAAAACATATTAAGCAACATAAAGCAAGACAAAGATACTAACTACTAAATTGTAGAAAAAAATAATTTCAAATGGGTTGAATTAATCTGCTTCCAAGGCTGCATTTTTACAGAAATACAGTAACATACTGCCCCAAATCTAGTGCAAATATCTATCATACCCCACAAGTTGCCCTAAATTCTCGAAGTCAGTATAGAATCCAAGGAAACAAGCAATACAATAAAATAACAACAACAAAGCTTGAAACAAAGGAAAAATAAATTAAGGAAACAAAAAAAATTGAGCTGCATTCAAGAAAGCAGTTAGAACCAAAGCCCTCAGATCTCATAGCTTTAATGAATCACACACGGCATAAAGCAAACGGCATTCGTTCATCAAAAGCCTTTACCAGTAGTAACGTGTGTGGAATTATATGTATGGAAAGAACGAATGAGGAGGTGATGATGGAGATGGAGATAAGCAAAGGCTAATGACGAACTAAGCCATCTGCAGCCGCTCAATAAACAATGTTTTTCCATCATTGGGCATAATTGAAGTTACCAATCTTACGCAGCAAGTAAACAAGAAAAAAAAAAAAGCAAAACCCTAAGAATCCATAGCCACAATCAACAAACATAAAGAAACCAAACAGAGGAGGACGACGGCAAAACACAAAAGCTTAGAAGGACGGAATACAGAAGAATTAGGGCAAGTAGCTTTAACCTGGATTTTATAGAGAGCTCTGCGATGGATTTTGCTGTGAACTGTCCACTGCGAGATTGGCGGCGGAGAAACCTGCTGAAAAGCCCTAGTATGCAACAGAGATGAAATGAAGGCCCAAATCATAGCTATGGGCCTGGGGCTGGGCCTGTGAGCTTAAAACAATTGGCCCAAAACTACAGAAATTCCTGTACGTTATAATTTATTTTTTCATGAATATTTATATTATTTGTTAGGTTCCGACAATTTTTGCTTAATGATGTGAAAGTTATCTATTTATAATCAAATAAATTACAAGTATATGAAAAGAATAATAAATGGAAAACAATATATGTAAAGATACCTGGTAAAAAAGCAAATATCTAGATATTTACCTATAATAAAATATTAAATAAGATATATATGCTTAAATATAATTTAGTATTACATATCCTTGACACCCCCCAAGCTAAGCGTAAAATTTGAACGAACGTGGAAGCTTGGATCTAAAAAATTAAAAGAGGTCGAGAAACACTTTTCGTGAAGATGTCAACAACCTGGTTCGAAAGAGGCGTAGAGAAACACTTTCTTGCCCATCGAAAATTGAAAAGGGATCGACGCTCAGCGGCAATGCTGTCTTGGCTTCGGCAAGAATATGTCTAACCCATGAAGAGGGATCGTCGCTCAGCGATGATGCTGTCTTGACTCCAGCAATAATATGTCTAACCCAAGTAAAAGGGGGAAACTTAGAGCCAGAAGAGTCACCACATTGGGCGAAGGAGCCAATTTTGGCGAGAATGGCAGTCGGAAGAGTCGCCACATTAGGCGAAGAAGTCAATTTGGGCGAGAAGGACGGCGGTGACTTGGTTGGCGAAAAGGCCAGTGCGGCTTCCAGATTCCAAAGGTAAAAAATCTCTGCAAAAGGTCTATAGGCTTCTCCAGATTCTGTATATTTTCGATGGGAACGTTATGAGGATTCTAAGGTTAGGGTTTTTGTGGAGGATGAAGAGCCGATTGGGAAGAAAATGAGAGAGGTTATATTGGCTAAGGGGAAACAGATTGTGTTGGAAAAGGTGAGGTTGTATGTACAGAGTATGGCGAAGGGTGATTTAAAGGTCAAAAGGGTGGAGCCGAAGAGTAATCAATCGGCTCCACAGTGGTGGTGGGGAAGAATAATAGAGGATTCAAAAGTCATTGAAAAGAAAGAATCAGAATGGTTGAATCAAAAGGGCTCTAATACCATGATAATGTTTGTTTAATTTACCATATCTAAATGGTGTGAAAGTTATCCATTTATAATGGGTTCTAATTTAAAGAATTAGGGTTAATATAATCCAAAAACAAGTAAGACATACCAACTAGTTCTTATTCAAATATCTGTCCCTCAAGCTTGTTCGGTCAGTTGGTAACTATTTTAAAACTCCAACAAAAGGGCTGCAACGATCGTATCACAATTTGAAAACAAATAAAACGAGCCAATTCAATGGATGTCACCAAAAATGGCTGGGGCATCTGTTGGATTGATTGGATCTCACAAGTAACATTCAACCTGCCCACAGAAAAGTATCAGAGAGAGAGAGAGAGAGGAAATGCGCTGACGCAGGCATAAATGCATTGCTGCCGGTCTAAACGTGTCGCTGCCCACGCTGCAGCGCCTGTAGCTTGGGTCACGTCGTGTTCTAGATACGGTCTTGTCGGAGTTCTCGCGCAAGCATACGCGTGGTGCCCGTGGGTTTGCCTCACACGTTCATGCTGCTGTCAAAGCCGCACGCCTAGGTGTTGCCCTCGATCAAAAGACAAGATTATAGATACTATCTCTATTAATACTGAGTTGGTTTAAAAAATTGAAAGAAGGGATTTAACCATTTTTATTTGTTATTTTTGGGTTAATAAGTTATAATATCTAGACTTAGCATTAATGAAGTCAAATCAAAATAAGATCGTTAAAAATATTAAATGTCACGTGACAAAAAGAAGTGTAGGGCATTGATTTTCCAAAGAAGGTAAGTGGTAGCTAGTAGCTAAAGAAGATGGCTTAAATTAGTATGTTCATCTCAAAGAATGTGATTAAAATATATAAGGGAATATACTAATGATTTCCCAAAAAGCATATAAATTAGGTGCATAGGAAAATGAAAAAGGGTTTGATTTGGAATCCTTAGTGCTTGATGCATTATGCTCTTTAGCCATGGGATTATCCTCTAAAAAGGTGGTTTAATGAATTAATGAACCTAACTTTGCCCTATCCCTTCATAGTGCTTTTCCAATTAGATTCTCCTACAATTGAAAACAAAGTTTGATTTCATGCTCAAATATTTGCCAAATGTAATAAACGAATATTAAATGTGAGCATGATATATATAGAAATTTCAAATTACAAAATTACATGTTCACTACCATCCCTACAAAATATATCAACATTTAATACTTTAGTTGTGCAAAAAATATTATGATCGTACATACTTGATCAAGATGAAGAACATAAATAATAAAAAAGAGAAGATGTAATAAGAAATATACATGGAGACACCGAGATAGAAAACTCTAGGTCATCTAGGGTTGTCTGTATTGGTGGGCGACTTATTGTTACTCTAACTTTCACTTGTGTATAGCACTTATTCATCACCCTTCATTCGAGATTCTTTAGTGATGGACTTCAAATTTAGTTCAGTAATTTCCTGACAGATCGACTTGATCCTATGAAAGTACTGTGCAATTGTCTTGTCATGCTGTAAGATTAATGAGAGCTTGTTCTCTTGAAGTTGTAGTCTCGTATCGTTCTTTTTTTAGAAAAGTGTCACGAACATGTTTCATGCTTCTTTGGGTTTCTTATGATCTCGAATGTGCTCTAATCTCTCTTCTTCGAATGTAGTTTTCAAAGCAAACATTATCTTTTCTTCTTTTATTCTCCATTTGTGCTAGGTGTCATTAAGATTTCCTTGGGTGGCATAGTTTAGCTTCTACTAATGACCTTCCAAAGGTCTTGTCTTTGTAGATAGAACAAACATGTTGCTATTGTAGTTGTTGAGTTTCTTGATTCTTTCGACCACTTGGAGATCACTCATTGTGTTGACAATATCTCAATAATACCAAACAAACTTTTTCGAAACAAAATGTGCAGGGTCATGCA